GCGCAGACAGTCACGGCTGTACCTACCGCAGTGTCGAACGGACGGTGTGTTTTTTTTTTTAACAATAACCGCACGATTTTGTCTCTAAAAATCAGTTAATATGACGAATAGGAAATATTGTGCTGTTTTTGGTTGCATGAATTCGTCAATAACGCATCCAGACATAAGTTTTTTTAAATTACCTGGCGACTGAAAGGTAAGACTAAAATAATTTTACTTACTAGAAGGTAGGTACATAATGTGTGTCTTTTTAATAGATAAGTATTTCCTTTTATCTCATGAAAAAAAGGTGTTTGGATTAATAAATAAAGCGAATAGAGTAACGGAAAGTTATTGAGACGAGTGAAATAGGTAGTTATATGCGGTTCTAAATGAATCATGATACGGTAGGGACCTACCTACTTACGCTTGTGTTAAAACTTCGGTGCATGTGTGTTTTGTTACTTTGCATAATTCAAAGTAAAGACGTGGTATTTTATTATTAATAATATTTGTTTATTATCTGTGTGTATGAATAATACTAGAAATTTTTTTTTACCGTCTGTGTGTCATTAGATAGTTTTCGAAATTTTCACAAAGTGTTTCTGCTGCTACTATAACAACATATACCACTAAAAACTGGTTTTATTTTCTCGGTATTAACAACAACAGCTAGACTCATATATAATATTTAGATGTTTGAGGGTTGTGATTTTAAAACATTCGTAGTCAGCTGTTCAGCTTTTTAATAATTAATTAATTGGTGACCAAAGAATTTTTGTTTTGAGTTGTTGCGAGTTGTAGGTAGGTACCTAATTTATAGAGACGTTAATAAGCTGAGATAAAAAGTTACTTACTCGTCAGCTATTTCTTGCATTCTAGTTGAGTAGGTAGGTGTTGGCGTTTCTAAGGATTGGAGTTTTGTAACGCGTAAGGAGAAAGCACATTTTTTTTATTCTATAGAAGGATTTTTAAGCTATTGCATAGCTTTTATCGCGGGCTCTGAGCGCGGCGCGGCGCGGTGACCGAATCAAGAAATTCTCAAAACCTAACGAAAAATACCTGACACCACGCAGATTTTTTTCTTTTAAAAAAAATATATTATGCAATAGCTTTACCGCGGCAGTCTCCGAGAGTGCCACATGTATTTTTATTTTCAGACGTCTTCAATGGTTGCAACTGATCCGGCGAGATGATTTGGAAAACAAACCTAACTTTAGTTCCTAGCAAGTTTGTGAAAAACATTTTAATTTGGAGGAAGTATTACATTCATCAAATAGAAAACTTTTAAAAAAGAATGCCCTACCATTGTTGATGCTGCCAAGCTTAGCTAGTACTGATCCAGGAGTCTCTCTAAAAGAAGATAAACAAACCCAAACTGCTCCGTTGGTAGGAAATGAAAATAGTACACAGACTGAAAATGCAACAAATGAAATCTTTGCTCAAACCTCAACGAGTCTCTCTAGCAACACTCCAAGAAAAAGAAAATTGAAACTTGAACTCCTCCAATGCAGAAAGAAAATAAAATAATTAAATCTACCAATCAAAAAACAACACGCATTTTTATTGAACACTTCCTATTCAATATACAAAGTATTTCATTTATTTATATAAAAAGGATATTTACAATCACAAATCTAAATAGAAACAGAAAGTAGGCAAATATAATTAAAATGCTGGAGACGGGCAGCCCTAACGCATGTTTACGTACCGCGCGGCTGTAGGCATTTATTTCTATCATGCGGCCGAGTTACACTACTGTATTATAATTGTACCGTGCCACTAGGGTTTCGTTTATAATTTCTTTTTGGTAACGACACAGCTGCTGACTAGTGATGTAACGTGCAAAATAATGTTGAAGTTAGTCGAGTTCACAAGGAATTCGTAAAACATAATTGAGTCCATTGCAACATAAAAAAAACTATATTAATTTTGAAATCTTGATTCGATATTATCTAAGAACTTTATTTTTTTCACCGTTACTTTGTTTAACTTCATCTGCTATCTTTAAAGCAACTTCTGAAAATGCCTTTTGAAATTGGTCATGGTCGTGATCTTACCAGTATTAATAATTGATATCGATAAAAGCATAGGTTTAGTGTTAGAACTTCCTAACGGTGGTGTCGTAGGTGTACCAAAAGAATTTTGTAAACTACACCGTGTCATTGACACTAGCTTGGCCGCCATCATAGATTTTAATAGGTATTATTAACACAAAAAAAATTCGTCAATATTATCAGAATTTGTCGGACACTGGTTCAAAAGTTATAAGCATTTATTTTTCCGGTCATTTTTGGTGTGCGTTGCCCCAGCGGAAATAAATCAAATTTTATTAAATATTGGAGTTTCTCAGATATTTAGTGTATGACGTCGTGTAATTATTGTTGCGCCATAGAATTAAATGGTTGGATTGTTCCAGAATTGTATGAAATGTCGAGGACAGTGCCATCTAGTAAAGTACATCTATTAAGATTGTGGTTCATAGTTATGGTCCTTACAGCGCTAGATGGCGCTGTAGCTGATTCTGGAATATTCTTATTTGTCTCGAACGGACCATCAAATACTAGGGATCTTTCTAGTAAATTCGGTAGCGCAATAAAAGCGTGTTGGCCGTTCGACACAGTATCGTTTTACGACACAGCGAATTAACATCGGAGTGAATTTCAAGTGCGACTAACGAGATATACATAGTGAAATCTAGTTTATTATAGCGAGTGTTTGTAAATATAGAGTGATTAACTGACAACTTTAATTTATTATATTCCCCGCTCGTAACAATGTGGTGTCAGAAGTGGGATAAAAGTATGCCGGTTTTACCCAAAGAAGACACGGAAGGAGAAGGAGGAGGAGGAGAAGCCAGCGTCAGCAAGAGGCTGACCAGAGGCGATTTGGAGGTGCACAACTGCCCACATTGTCAGCAGCCAGCAATGGAAGTCACTCTGTCAACATCGTCAGCGGTTCCAGATATCACGGCCCTAATGATCCAGGAGCAAGCCCGCCATCAGGAGGAGCAGGCCCGCCGCTTGGAAGAACAGCTGCAGCGGGACAAGGTGGAGCAGGCCCGCCGTCAAGAGGAGCAGATAGTTTTGTTAACACGAGAACCGTCTCACTGAACCGCCACATTTGGAAACGGGATGGCGACTACGGTAACTGCTGCTTCTTCGGTGCGAGGGTTCAAAGTGCCGCCATTTGATGGAACATCTTCGTGGTCAGCCTGCAAGATCCAGTTTGAGGCTGTTATGACGGCGAATGGCTGGACTAAGGCCCGGGCTATGACCGCGCTCACCTTGGGTCTCCAGGATCACGCCATAATCGTCCTCGAAGCCCTCGGTAAGCAGGTAGCGTATGAGCTACTAACTACTGGAAGCATTAGAGGCAAGATATGGTGACACTCACCTGGAGCACGTGTTTTGTGCACAACTGAAGGATCGTGCCCAACTCATCGGGGAAAATTTGCAACAATGGGCCCTGGAAGTTGAGAAACTGATCCGTAAGGCATATAAGTGATAGCGGCCATGAGGCTTGGGCACCATGGACCTCTCAAGGACGCCCTAGCCCATGCTTTGGAGGTAGAAGCCATGAGACAAGACCATCGGTTAAATCGCGTCCGGGGGGTTCTGGCGTCACCTGTGCGGGACCGTTATAGGGGTACAGCCCTAGATGTTACGCCTGTGGCGAGAAGGGTCATTTTCGGTCTAGTTGCCAACTTGAAAATCGGTTTCTGCCATTACATTTAACCGTGAGCGAATAGATCTCGTAACAGCGACTGGTCAGCGCATACTCGTCCGAGTATGCGTCGATGCCAAGACCTGACTACTGCAAATATTAGTAAAGATGCACGAATTAAAGTGTCACCACTTTTGGAAGACCGTCGAGATGTTTTGTCCACGGAAGAAATAGACGAGGCTAAGAGGTTGTTAGTTAAATACGCCGATTTTTTTTCTTCTAATGACGCTGATATTGGAAAGACTGGTTTAGTTCAACACACAATTAATACTGGGACTAAGTTGCCTATTCGTCAGCGACCAAGAAGGTTACATGTAGCACGAGAGGAGGAGGTGGAATCCGTGATTGGAGGAATAGTGAGGGACGGCGCTATAGAGCCTTCATCCAGCTCTTGGTGTTCACCTGTAGTGCTTGTAAAAAAAAAAGGATGGCAGCATGCGTTTTTGTTTTGACTGCCGCCGTTTAAACGACATTACGAAAAAGGACAGCTACCCATTACCAAGAATAGATGACACTGGACATGCTAACAGGAGTAAAGTGGTTTAGCACCTTAGATTTTAAAAGTGGATACTGGTAGGTAGAAATTGATCCCAAGGACAAGGAGAAAACAGCGTTTTCTACAGGGAAGGGACTGTGGCAGTTCAAAGTTATGCCCTTTGGATTATGTCACGCGACAGCAATTTTTGAAAGACTGATGGAGCTAGTACTTACCGGATTAATTGCAGACGCCTGTCTGGTCTATTAGGATGACATTATCGTGGGCCGTACGTTTCAAGAACATATTCAAAACCTGGAACGCGTGTTATCGAAAATACGAAGCGCCAACCTAAAGTTAAGTCCTAAGAAATGTTCATTTTTCTAACGGCAAGTAAGGATATGTGGTTTTGGAAGCGGGGGTTCAAACAGATCCGCAAAAGATCACCGCCGTCAGAGCACTTAGTATTAACTCGTTGTGATAAACTCAGAGCCCTGTCCTGTATGGCTAGCTTACGTTTGAATTCGGGCTCCTGTACTCAAATCAAATCAGTCTTGATTTGCCAACCAAGTGTACATAAATAGTCTTAAAATAATAATTACTATCAACTTAGTAGCCTTTTCCAGGCATTAAAAAAAAAATGTAGATTTTCTAGGTTGAAATATCAATCCACGATCAAAAAGTTTGATTTTTTTGGCCTGAGAAATCGATTCTTCGATTAATCGTTCTCAGATCGCCATCCCTAACCTATGGGTGCGAGTATACCAAATATACCAACCAAGTTCTGTCTTCATACCGCGATTCAAGAGTTTTGTTTAAAATGACTGCTCAAAAGGTGGATATAGGTTTCCTAGAAGAAAGAGACAATTGGCTTTTACATCCCAAATTTTTTCCAAGTAAAGTAGGAGGAAAACCAGCATGGTTGGATCTTAAAAATTTACCGCATCCAAATGAATTGACTTGTAAAAAGTGCAGTGAACCTTTAATTTTTCTTTGCCAAGTGAGTCAATTTAATTCATTTAAATAACTTATTTCTTGTTTGAACATTGTTAACCATTACCATTAGTAATCCTGCTTACTTAGCCCAATTGAAATTTAAATTTCAGATTTATGCTCCCTATGAAGAACGTACAGATGCATTTCACAGGACAATATTTCTGTTTGTGTGTAGGAATGGTGTGTGCTGCCAAACAAATGCTTCAGATAATTTCTTAGTTCTGCGTTGTCAACTATCACGACAGAATGACTATTATTCACATGAACCTTGTGAAGAAATAGAGAGTCAAGTAAGAATGTTAAGTACTTACCTACCATTGTATGTACCATTGTACCATGTAACATTACCACTTTTCAATATTATAGTCTAGGCTTCAAACTTCCTAAAAAATCTCCTACTTTACTACTTATGTAAAGCTCACCTGATTTTCATTAGTGTTTTTAATTCTTTTGTCTTTATGTTTATTAAAAAGTACTAACATAAGTAGTTATAATATTATACTTTTGTCATAAACCAAAAGGCAGTGGTGATTTTAATTTTAAAAAGTAATTGAATGTGGGTTAAGTGAATTGAATATTGACGCTCAACACCAGTTTCGGCAAACTCGTCCTAAGCCCTCCTATAATACACTTACAATATGGGTGGTGAGCTTCACTGTGCCTCATCTGGCCGTGTATTCAAAACCAAATTCGATTTTGCAAGTCACGTACGGGCGCATGAGCGTAAACAGAGCTGTTGAAAGGTGACAGGGTGTCGCCGTCGACGGATACGTCTGGGAGGACATCATCATCATCATACATATAGATAAATTACAAACAAAATATAAATAAAAAGGTGTTTTTACTAAGTTCTCTAATTTAATCTGAAGAACAAAAGATCAGAATTGGTCATACTAGGCATCTTAAACCAATTATAATAAAATAATGTATTCTAATTCTAAAATAAAATTATTTTAATGTTCTGCAGGCTTTTTCAATGGATAAGTGGCCCAACTTATGTAATGTATGTGGAACTAGAGCTCCTTCACACTGCGCTAAATGTAAGAAAACTTACTACTGCAGTCGTAAACATCAAGTTCTTGACTGGCAAAAAGGACATAAAGCAATGTGTTCCGAGTTACAGGTATAACTTATTGAAAAGTTATCAATCATACCAATATGTAATAAACATCTCTAATAAAGCATTATTGATTAAGTTCGTATGTCTCAGCTATTTATGGGTGCAGTGTGGTACACCATGGGATTTTGTTTTAATTCTGATTTAGCACTCCAGTAAAATATCTAGTTCCTTTAAGAGCTTCCGTTTGCTTTGGCTATTGTGATAAAATGTAACATTTTCACATAAGTCCACCTAATTATTTTCCTAAATATTTCAGACATTGGATTCATATAAACCCAACAATTTTAAAGTTACACAAGCAGGAAAAGCCTTGTTATTCAAGGAATGGGAGCTTATTGTTGATGAGGAAGATGAGGTTGGTATTGAATATTTAAATTTTTAATGTGGTTGCCTTTATATTAGAGCCATAAATTCACTTCCTATAGAAAAATCTGTCTTGATTATGCATTATCCTTATTACAAAATCAATTAATGATTAGCTACCTGGTTATATTTTTTTAATGATGATATTTGTTAATAGGATGATCCCAAAAATGTTGATGAAAATGAGGAAATGGAAAAGTTACGAAAATTAATGCAAGAAAAGAGAGCAGGTACATTAAGTAATGTCAGTGAAGATGAATTGGAACAATATACTAAAGCACAACCTGAAGACAAGGTTTTTAATAAATTCAGTAAAAGAATCAATAGACATCCAGATCAAGTACTAAGATATGACAGAGGGGGTCAACCTCTTTGGATTACTTCTAATACTGGTAGCTGTGTTGATGATATTCCCAACTGTCAGTACTGTGGTGGCGAAAGGCAATTTGAATTACAAGTAAGTATGTTAAAAGTATTATAAATAAATAGTGACCTACCGAAGGTTCGGTTTTGGACAAAATCGGCGGCAACTTTCGGCTGCACCGAAACTCAGTGTTTAGAAAGTGCCCAACGTTGTTTGGTTAACTTCGTGACTAACTAGTGGAGACCGGCTCTGGCTCAGTTCGCCGTCATCCAGTGCAATGTCTTTTTTTTTTTGGTGTTTGGGGGCAAGCTAGCAGACGGTTCGAATGATGGTAAGTACACCTGCAACTTAAAAGACACCACTGCATCTATACATCTATACAAATAAATAAAATTGGACTGTCTGTTTGTAATATTAAAATAACCGCTTTTTACTAAATGCATATGTATGTTTACACGGTACATATGCCAAAATAACATTTTTTACAATTTTTGTCTGTCTGTCTGTCTGTTTGTTCCGGGTAATCTCTGGAACGGCTGGACCGATTTCGACGGGACTTTCACTGGCAGATAGCTGATGACATAAGGAGTAACTTAGGCTACTTTTTTTAGACTAGCTTCGCCCCGCGGCGTTGCCCGCGGTTATAACAATAAATAATTTTGTATTGTTTTGTTTTTACTTATAATTAATAGTGATATGTGTAGTATTTCATTTGTATAGAGCTTCGTTTTGTTGAGTTTTATATACACGGTGATTTTGAAAGCGTTTTGGAAAAGAAAATTTTGAGTTATTTATCAGTAACAGAAGCTATATATAACGTTAATTTAATAAAATATATATATATTTTTTATCATCAAAGTCGATATTCATATCGATTACAGAGAAAAGGTGAGAACCAGTAGTAGGGCTTTTCAATCGCAAGTAGGTAAATACTACGAATAGAAATACTATACTCACGCGCAAGGTCAAGGACGTTTAAATTATTATTCGCCGGAGTGTAGTGCGTGCATACCTGGACAATGAGTTTAGTGATCGGTGGATAGGTCGAGGAGGGCCAGTGCCTTGGCCACGCAGAAGCCCGGACTTAACGCCCCTGGATTTATTCTTATGGTCGGAAATAAAAATACTTGTTTATACACGGGAATATGAAAGCCGTGATAATTTACGCATTGCGATAGTGGACGCTTTTGATAAAGTGAAAAGTGATAGAGACACATTAAGAAAATTAAAAAACAATTGCATTAAACGTGGACGTTTGTGTATTGAATGCAGCGGACTCCATTTTGAGCAGTTGCTTCGACACAGAGAAGTGTTAATAGGTATGTAAGTTAATTATTCTGTAGATAGCTCAGATTTTTTAAATACGCTTGAAATATTTATACCTACAGTCCGTTGATAAATTGATTTGTTGTGAAAAGAACAATCGTGGTTAATAATCGAAAAGAAGTTTAAATAAAATAGGTATTTCCGACGGTCCTAAGCCCGTGTAAAGTATGAAGGACAAATTGGAGTCGATCTACGTAAGTACTCGCTAGCTCGCGCCTATAGGTATACTTTTATCAGCTGCTGTTAGCGTCAGCGGTGCGCAGCGGCCGCCGAAACGCCCACGGACGTGTTTCATTCATATAAGATAATGAATGAATGATCAGTCCATTACTACTTTCCAAGTCGATCGAGTAAAAATGAATATTAAAACTGAAACATTTTTTTAGACAACATTACAATTGATTTAATCATTTTTATTGGTACTATAGATGATTCCAAATTAAAATGTTTCGTTTCCAAAACGTCTAAAAAATCAACGTGTATATATATATATTAGTGACAGATAAAAGACATTATGTTCGATTCAGGAATTACTTATTACAGAACGTTTCTCAAAATTCAAGCAACGCTTGAGCAGTTTCATAAGGTGAAAACTAACCTCAAGCATTTCTGGAGTTTTGAATAAAATTTTGTAATACGACTCTTAGATTTGTTTTTACTTAATTGCTGTTGAATTACATTCTGTACCCCTATTTCACCATTTTTAACAACCCAAAAAACTTATCCTACGTGTGATCTACAGTCGCTTAACTTTAAGTATGTGAAAACACGTATAGTCCGTTCAAATTACCCAGTCAGCCACCTCGCCCCGTCCTTTCCCGCCTATAGCGTAAGGTACCTATGTAGTTAATTTCTAGTACCTACGTATTTTTTTTATCTACATACCCAAATCCATTTCATCTTAGGAAGCAGAATTAATGCCGTGTGTCTGCCTTATTACAGTGGTTTTAGGGTGGTGTGTTGATATAAGCAGATAAATGGCTAAACAATACACTAGATTTTAGTATACAATCGAAATTTTAAAATGATAGTTTGAGTTTCGGTCTGTTTCGGGTCGGACACTATAAGTAAATACATGTTTATATTTTGCATACGTTAAAAATAGTTATATTGGTTTGCATCGAATAAATTTACCAGAAAAGAATAGTCAAATATTCTTGTGTCCCTCCCACAACTCCGACTTCGTGAACTCCTCGTTCTTTGTGCAAGTGGTACTGCTCTGGAATGCGCTCCCACTAGAAATCAGTATGTCCACAAACCGTGTCGCATTTAAAAATAATGAACATAATTACCTTCTCGACGAGATGGCGGAAGTACCTTAACCAATAGTATAGGTACCTCTCTAAATTCAAGTGTTCAGTGTACGAATATAAAGAATATGCATTTAAATACATATATGTCTAATTATATTTTATTATAACTATATTATCTATATGTGTAATTGTATAATATATGTAAATTTTGTTTAGTTTTATATGCTTATTGATAAGAAATATATCCATAATCAGTGATTACAATAAAATTGTAACCTCGGTGCAACCACCTCACAAAATTTCTACACCATCCAAAGGTTGGTTGGTAGAGAATGCCAAGGGCATTAAGTCCACAGATGTACATAAGTGCACAAAGATGTAATAAATAAATATAGAAATTAACACAAAATTGTAAATGTCAGCTTTAAATTGATTACTATGCAATGCTCTGAAGGCCAATTCTCGTAATAACAGTTCAGTCTCAATTCACTTCAGTGAAAATGCTGTTGATTGTAAAACTTAGCAAGTGTGAGAGGAAATATCAAACACCAGTTTCAAACATATATTTATAGCAAAACTTATGTGTTACCAAGCCGCAGTCATTTTTTGTAAGAGGAAGTTCCGGCGAATCGTTCATAGACCATTCTTATATTTAAAATATAAATCATAGATAATAAGAAACACTGTGGTTTATTTCAACTAGTTCGGATCAACTTTCTATCTCACACTTGTCATAAAAGGTATTTTCGTAGTAAAATAGTAAAGAATTACCAAGACTAGCAGATTACCAATTCATTTTTCAGTTACAGTGCATATAATTACATTAGTCAACGTTGAATGTTTAATTCTTTACTATGAAAATACCTTTTATGACAGTGCCCAGAATGAATGTTGATCGAAACTGAGTTGAATTTTATTACGAGAATTGGCCTTCTGGTCCACTTACAATTTTATATAGACAAAGCACTTGGTTAGTAACTGTAAGGGTCAATTGGCTTACATTATGGTATTAATATGTTTTGTCTAATACGGTTTTTAATGTAATTTTTCAGATAATGCCCCAGCTTCTAAACTTTATAGATGTTGGTATAGAACTAAACAGCATTGACTGGGGTGTACTAGTAGTATACACTTGTAAATCAAGTTGCAATCAGGGGCCAGCTTATAAACAGGAGTTTTTAACAAAACAAGATTTGTCAAACTAATAAACAATTATATTTGTAATATAATCATGTTATAAATAATTATGCTAAAGTTTTATTTATCCTTTACTGAGTTCTTTCCATATTCCTCTGACAGATATGTCATCAAATCATTTAGACCACTAAACTCTGTTCTAGATTGTGGTGGGTTATTCCTGGGTAAAATAGGTAAGATATTGCCAATTTTTTGCCTGAAGTCTTTCAGCTGTAAAAATGAATAAATGGTGAACAATCTACACACCTTAAACAATAAGCAGTCTTTATTATATTTGAATATTTACATCTTTAGCTCCAGAAAGTTTCCATACACCATAACATAAACATGTAGTGCCAGTTATAGCATACAGAGTACCCCAACCAAGTGCTCTTAGTGCAAGTATAACACCAGCATCTGCCAGTTCCGGGTTGCCATGTAGTCCTAAAAAGGTTTTTCTTATAAACTGAACTTTTAAGTAGTACTTAATGTGTATTTAAAGAATATTAACAAAAATCTAAATGAACAGGTAGTATAGCGTTAAAATCATTTTGAAAAATAACTATGTTTTTTGTAAAATAATTAAGTCTTAAAGTAATTGTTGTACCTTTGCTAAAATACTTTGGGTCTGCTTTCTTAACTGTAGAAAGTGTTGCTCCAAATCCTACAAATGCAGATATTCCTGCAACTGTAGCGAAGAATGCGCCAACTGCAAAATAAATTATTGTGTGTGTGTAGTACTAAGTTTCTTAAGACTAACTAACAGTATTAACACTACAGGATGATATATACTTTTAAGATCTATCGTGTACACATTGATAGTAATTAGTATTTGCTTTGTTTTACTGTTGGGGGTTATGATTCCTGATGCAAATTCAGTGACTGACTAGCCTACCCTTTATACGTTGAAGACGTTCTTCTTTTTCCAAAGTAGAGGTTTCCACATTGCTTGTCATATTGTTTGTTGTTTAGGTCATCTTCACTTCGATAATTAAGTTAGAAAACAATCACCCAGCTATGTAATATTATAGGCCCCATCTGATCACTAACATCGCGATCGTATTGAAAATTCCGATAAGATTAATGAATGGGGCTACAGTCACAGAGTATGTAAATACTTTGGCATTGGCACCAGCACCACTTCGTAAACAGCTTCATATGGATGACATTTGACAGATGTCACAAAACAGTGTCTAGTGATATGACCATAGATATATATTCTATATCTATGGATATGACATAACTGGTTCTCAAATTTTTGGCTCCACCACAGCTCTACATAAAACCCTTTGACAGTTTGTTTTTCAAATACATGACATTGGCGAAATAGGGAATATGCACGTGACACCAAAATTGACAAAATACTTTTATTTGTAATTTTCATTGCCAAAAAAAGATACCCATACAAATATTTTTGAAATTTATTATAATTTAATAGTAAAATTTAATCATCAAAAATTGGCTTTTTTAAGATTCCCTCGCAAATTTCTAAAACGCAACGCTATTGGTCGAATAAAACGTGACGTCAACCTACACTGTCAAAAGTGTCAACAAGTTGTGTGTATTTGTAATATTTGGTTTCTGGTGATTATTTGTTTCATTTTAAGTTAATAACTAAAACGTTTTTAGTGTTAAATTATTAAATGCCCGTGTAGAAAGACTCAACACAATGACTGAATATACTTTGTCAGGTGCAGTTTTGATATTATTTGGGCACAAAGGGACGGGGCAATATTTATAATAAGTTTTTATTGGCTTTCCATGGTAATAAGTTAATTTTTATCACTCACTTTTTTAACTTTCAGAAACTTTGTGAACTTCACTCCGTTGTTGACATCGAATTCGTCTTTAAGTGTAATCTGACGTCACAAAAAAAGGGTGCCAAAATGGACGTGTTCAAATTACCCCAAAATGATAGTGATTTTAATAAAAATTTTTGCTTAACGGTTTATATTTCGGATGTGTTATATTTATTTTTGGTAATGTAATAACTAGTAGAATCGTTAAAAAAAAATACATGCATATTCCCTATTGTGGTTACACTACCACAGAGCCATTAACCAAAGGTTGAAGTTGACATAACTGGCTAAATCGATCAATGTAGCGACTATAATCGAATGATGAAATTTAGATTAATTTGTAGGTTTATATTGAGTTTATAGTGAGATTTTAACAATGTATAAATTGGTAATAGCCGCTTTCATAGATGGCGATGTAATTAAAATCGTGTCGAATCAGTTTTACTCGATCGTAACAACTTCGTTCCCATCGGGTGTCCTACGACACCACACGGCTTTTTGTATTATACGAAGAATTTACCACTGCTGTAAAAAAAATAACACGAACCCTTTTTTTTAAGCCTAGATTTTTTCAATAGTTCCAAAGTGTTCTACTGGCAATGGTAGGGTGATAGATAGATCAGATTTCTTTTGCTATTTCATCAAGATATATGTTGGAGTTCGGCGTTTGTGTAACCAATTTTAGTAGTTCTCTTTTAAACACAAACTATTCGGCCTCAACTTCATTATTTTGCAACCATTCTGTAATTTCTAACTTTTTGTTTTTAGTAGTAAGAGCTTTAACTTTTTGTACTGAATGGTAAGGAACGTTACACAACGGACATCCATTAAGATAGTATGAGGCTCATTTAATTTTTTTAAGTAAGGAACCACACTTTGAACATTACATAACATTTTGTTAAACTTTTACTAACAACGACGTCATATTCCTTGTTAAATGGGTTCAAAATGTTGACGCAAGCGCATAACAAACTAGACATTTTCGATATCATTCTGTATGGCAATGTATTTCGTACCTAATTAATTTTCTTCATGTGAATCGGAGCAACTACAAACTACCTCACTTATGAAAAAATTTGATGGATTTAAATTAGATTCTGATGAATTATAATCGCAGTTTTGATAGTTAGTGTTAATAAATTACCTGAAGAATCTTATTATCGAAACACCACATGACAATACATCACTTAATCCAACAACATGAAACCACGTGCGCGAGCAATGAGTCTTATAAAAACGAGCTGCATTATTGGGTTACCGCCTCTGTCGCTGGTCGCTCAGAGCTGACCCTTCCCAGGTGCCGCCTGGGGTCTCACCTGGCTCGGGGCATCGTGAAGACTGAAGCAACCCCTCAAAACAACCGAAGCTCGACAAACCAGCCCATGACCTACCCCTATCTAGGGGTAGCGGGCTACCGCCCCGAAACAGCATCCACATGTGTGGTCTGGACTGGACTGGACGGTGTGAGGTCCCCGACAGTACGCTCGAGCCGTCGGGCTGTACGAATCTGTGTACGACTGTTGGTAAAACCTTGGAATATATCATTAATTGTACTTACTGTTGTCTGTTTTTACTACCGTAAAGATCTATGTACAACTGTCGGTAAGAACTTGGAATACGTATTTACTCTTGGCATTATTTACTACCGTGCGGATTTATGTACAGCTGTTGGTGCGAGCTTGGAATACATCATTACTTGTATTTACTACAGCTTTTATAAAGGGAAACCACTACAATGTAAAGAATGATGTCAGCTTTGCTAACGACTGAGATGGTGGTAGCCGATGCCATTCAAACTACCCAAGAATTAGCGGCATGATTTATATTATATTATTTGTGTTGCTTTGTTGAATCGGTACAGAAATATTAAAGGAATATTGGATCGAATTGTGGCATGTGACGAAAAATGGTTTGTTTAGATTGAAATGTAATACTAATAATATACTTACTAATAATACTTACCGATGAAAATGTAATAGCAATTATTTGGTGGTATCTTCATATTCCGTGTGGTGACGGATTAAGAATACAGAGTGTCACCACCCCTATTCATCCCGTGGATGTCGTAAGAGCCGACTAAGGGAAAAAACTACGCAGAACAACAGCACTGCAGAGAGAAGGAAAACTTGACACAAACCCTATACCAACCCGTCTGGCCAGCGTGGTATAGTAGGCCAAAACCTCCTTTCTAAGGAGAGGTTTATGTCCAGCAGTGGACTATTAAAGGCTGTTGATGATCTTCATATTGTTGTTCACTGTAGCTTTCTCAGTTCTGGTCAGACAATAAAGGCAGATGTTCCTCTCGAAGCTCCCTTTCTATGGGCTTCCCGTGAAATTGTGTGATTGGGTCACCAGTTTCCTTGCAGACAGAAGCATTTTAAGGTCGTTGTCGACGGTGCATGCTCCGACTTGAAATCTGTAAATGCTGGTATCCCACAAGGCAAGTGCTGTCACCCACACTGTTTCTTCTGCATATTAATGACATGTGGCAAACTAGTAGCATCCATTGTTATGCAGATGATAGTACGGGAGATGCCCTTTACTCCGGCCGCCCCAATATTTCTCAAGTCTCAATAGTCGAAACATGTGTCATCAAGTGTCTGAAATTGAAACTTCCTTAGGAGGTTTCAGATTGGGGCCAACTAAATCTAGTTCACTTTAACCCAAAAAAGACACAGGTTTGTGCGTTCACCGCAAATATGATCCCATTAATCGTATCACGTCTGTTTGAGAGTATCTCCCTAACTGCGTCAGCCAGTATCGGAATCCTAGGCATCGACATATCGAGCGAAGTCCAGTTTCAGAATCACTTAGAGAGTAAGGTAAAATCCTCCTCGAAGAAGCTCGGTGTGCTGAACAGATCGAGACAGTATTTCACTCCGGCCCACCACCTTCATCTCTATAAAGCGAAAGTCCGTTCGCATATAGAATACTGTTCTCATCTCTATGCAGGGGCACCTCAGTACCAGCTTCTCCCTTTGGACTGCATCCAACGAAGAGCGACTCGAATCGTCGATAGTCCAAAGATCTCCGATCGGCTCGATCCTTTGGCGTTACGTAGAGATGTAGATTTAATCTGCATTGTCTATCGTATAAATCATGGAGAGTGCTCTGAGGAATTGTTCGGACTAATACCGGCCGAAACATTCCGCTATCGTTCCACATGGCAACATTTTCAACCCCGTCACCTGGATAATTGGCGCTCCCCTACTGTGCGCTTTTCAAGACACTTTTTGCTTCGCACAACCAATCTGTGGGACAATTTATCATCTGCGGTATTACCGGACCGATTTGACCTTCAAACCTTCAAGAGAAGAGCATACTCCACCCTAAAAGGCTCCTGAGTTGCTGACGTTCATGGGCGGCGATAGTCACTTTCCATCAGGTGACCCGTCTGCTCGTCTGCCACTTCTAACATTAAAAACATCCTATGTAGAACACTGAACTAGTAAAAGCTGTTGATGATTATGATAAAGATATATTATAAATCATTAAAATATACATTTACTAATTTAGAACCATGGCGAGACTACAGTAACAGATAATGCTGGATACAAGAAATTGATTCATAGGTATACTTTAACATTAACGTACGGAGGAGCGGAGACTCCTGGCACACGCATCTTAGATGCTTAAACGGAGTTTCAAACAATAATTGTTGTGATTATACCTGTGAAGTTATTTATTCTTATTATTAATGCTCATACATACAGCATAGCACGTTGACGTAACACTTACGTTTGATAGAAATTAGCAACGTATTCCATAAAAGCACAGCTTGTACGAAAAACAAACTGGAAACCAAGGCTTTGTACCAATTTTTTTCCCAATTAGTTTTTTTCCAATCTCAAGTTTTCAGAAGACCTGAGGCATTTCAAATGTGTATAAGTACGGATGATGATTTCAACTATACAACGTGGCACATAGGATTTTTCATGAGATATTTCGGCAACAATATAAAAAATAAATTGATTTTGGGAGAAATAAAAGAATAACCTCAAATAAGAAAAAACTAAACTTTAACATCTGGCAAGACTATGACTAACGGCTGACAAGAATTGTCCGGATAAGAAAAGTTTTAGGTTAGATTTTAAGTTATTTTAAGTTTATCTACATAGATAAATGTAGATAAGGCAAACGCAAAACGCAACAAAAAGTTAAAGAATTAACTAACGACAAGCACAATGAAAACCAGAACAAGTATTATAGAATTATTTGATCAAGCTAAAACAAACGAGAATTATTTAAAAGTATGTGCACCAATGGTTCGTTACAGCAAAGTGCAGTTCAGAACACTTGTTAAAAAGTAAGTTTTGTTTTGCCATGATTTGAAATGATTATCCTTATAATTCATCACAAAATTTTAATACTTTATTAACATCATCTTATTTATAAACATATATACTTATAACTTTTCCTTTCTTGTAACAACTGTCTTTGTAGATACATTAAATAAGTCAATTGACTGTTCTGTTGATCCAGTGGTTATTGTTCCTGAGCTAGAGGTATTGGATTCCATTTCCACCCTGGACAAGTATTTGCATGATGAGTATGATTATTTGTTCTGTATCTGGGTGTAATATATCTGTAAAATGTAAATCTATGAATATGTTTATCAGCAGCCTTAATACCATAATAAAGGATCTGCCTAATTTGGGATCAGATGGCCTTGTGAAAGGTGTGTGAAGTTATTGTTATAATTGAAACAGATTTCACCACTACACTTATAATTATATTTCCAAATACATATAGATAACATAATTTGGTTTCAGCTATGGAGTAGATCTATGTTTTACTCCAATGATATTAGCAGACTCCTTCTGTCAAAATTCCAAGGCTCGCAGTAGTGAGTTTTCCACCACACTGAATGATACACCATTAATAGTGCAGTTTGCAGCTAATAGTAGTGATGCCTTTGTTGATGCTTCAAAATTGGTGTATTCTTATGCAGATGGTGTTGATTTAAACTGTGGTTGCCCACAAAAATGGGCAATGAAAGATGGTTATGGTTGTGCACTTTTATCCAAGCCTGAAACTATATGTGAGTTAGTAAAAGCAATAAAGAGTAATTTGCCACATAACTTCAGTGTATCAGTTAAAATAAGGCTATTAAAAGAGATAAAGAAAACAATTAGTATGTGTCAACAATTAGAAAAATGTGGAGTTAACTTTTTGACTGTACATGGGAGGACACCAACACAAAAAAGTGGTGATAAAATAGATACAATGGGCTTACAAGAGGTTATTGAGTCTGTCAATATTCCAATAATCGCAAATGGTGGTATCAAAACATTAGAAGACGCGGATAATTTGTATCAAGAAGTAAAGTGTAATGGAGTGATGGCTGCTAGTGGAATTCTAACCAATCCAGGATTATTCAGTGGAGCTACCAAAACTCCTCTAAGTTGTGTCAAATTATGGATGGATATGAAAGATAAGGATGTTGATAGCATATCATTTCAATGTTACCATCACCACTTAGTGTTTATGCTTGAAAAAGTTTTATCAAAGCAACAAAAATTGGTATTTAATCATCTAAGTACATTTGAAACGGTTGATAAATACTTATATGAGCATTTGATTAATTGTATGGATAGCTTAGATGTTAAGCATAATCTAGGTAAATTTGTTGATTGTGAATATCCTTATGAAATCACTTCAAAGCATTCTAGTAAATGTAGGTCTTGTGGTAATAGTACATGCTATTGCATCTGTAATAAATATAATTCTAACATTAGTGATGGCAAGTATTTCAGATCTTGTGTAAAAGATGATTCCTTAGATTATATGGACTGTAGTATTTTTGATTTAGTTAGCTAAATATATATATTTAACTATATTAACTTTGTTCACACTTTATTATTTTGTTATGGATCCTATGCTCCGTAATTGTTCTGCAAGGGGAAATCCATAAATTATGTCAAATAAATTTTAAAATTTTTTATTTTCTCTCTTCCTTGTCTTGTTGGTGTAATGTCATAAATAAAATATGAGTAAAAAAATAACTATTTTTTTAGTAAAACAACGTAAAATTATACATAAAATAATAGGTCTATTAATTTGGAGATTTTTTAAAAAGCTTTTTCAGATTTAGTTATCTGTGGGTTGGCGCGCAATTCGTAATTCAAATAAATTTTATTCTGAAGCCATTGATTAGACTAGATTAGTAATTGGCGCTCAAAATCGTTGCCACTGCACATCTGTCCACAGTCATATGCACAGCAAACGTTAGTTTAGTTTTCAAGGTGGCGCTAACCGAGTTCAACCTAGCGACACGAGACCATAACATTTGCAAAAATGGGTAATTGCGTAGTGAAATAATGCGATTCAAGGTCACTAAACTATAATAAATCAAGCAGAATTACTTTTCACACGTGAATATATTATGTATTTATATTGACGTAAATGACGCTATAAGCGATATAAAAATAAGTGTCGAGCAGGACGTTCGACGGTCGGCGCTATGCTGGCCCTGAGGGCCGTGATCGTAGAGGCGGTGAGCTGTAGCGGCGTGTTGTTGGCGGTGTCATTAGACATCGCCAACGCATTCAATAGTCTGCCATTCAGCTGCATCATGGAAGCACTCCACTATCATGGGGTGCCAAAGTACCTGTGGCGCCTGGCAGACTATTTAGAGGAGCTTACCGTCGCGTACGAGGACGAGATGGTAATCTGAGGCGTCGGCGAATGTCGTGAGGTGTTCCACAGGGGTCTGTTCTTAGACCCCTCCTATGGAACATAGGTTACGACTGGGCCCTTCGTGCTGATTTTTTCCCCGGCCTGGGTGTAATTTTTTTCGCCGATGATACTTTGGCTTATAATTTTTGAACCAGTGGCCGACAAATTCTGATATTTGGGGACAAATTTCGACAAATTAGCGACAAAATTTTCGTGTTATCAAAATTATAAGCCATGACGGTGGCCATGTCAGGGTCAGTGACATCTAAAAACAGTTGAATAAAGTTACATGTAGTTTACTTCTCAAGAGAATAAGGAGTTTAGAATACATGTATTTTTATACACCGTCAGGATCGACGCAAACGAAGCCCGCGCGGAAGTCACATCGACAGACGTGTTCATGTTCTATGCCAGAGGTTCCCAGACTTTTTTCTCATAGATCACTCAAAATTTAAAATTTCGACCTGCAGCTACATTTCTACTATACCTATTCCCAAAACTCGACAAAAAACGTGAAGATTAGATCTTACTATAGACATTTGCATTGTGGCTGAACTCCAACCAGGAATTAATAGATTTCGAAAAAAAATGATTGGTTCATTAATTAATTGATTGTGCTGTGGGTGAACTTCAAAAAAGTAAAGTTGGCCATCCAACTTTACTTATTTAACATCAATCAATCAATTCTCACTTATTTCATTAGAAAACTCCTCATTCAGAGTGGTAAAAATTAAAATATGTTATTTATTCAAATATGTATGTATGTAATTATTACACTTAATTATTATTGTTATCATATTACATTGTAATATGATGTCAGTCGTAATATAATTAAAATTAAACAATAACGTAACGTAACTTCTATAAATTTAATGGAAGGGATGTACTTGATGGATTGACAGCAAATTATCAATATTTGGTTTCAGTTTTGTTAGGAATAACCGCAAATCTCCCCGTTTCGTGATATTCAATCTGCTCCTTTTTTTTTGTTAAAAGGTTTGTAACGGTTTGTTAATACCCTCTTTTAAATTTTTACACACAGCTCCTCATTAGTGATAAGTTCGAGTAGCTCCTTTTGTAATATCACATTCTCCACTTCCTTTTCATCAAATGGATTTATGATCCATATTTCCATCGTCAGAATATCTTCAAATCTGATTTTGAAGTCATCATGTAGAGCAATAAAATGTTGAACTTATGTCTAAATATCCTCATCAAGGCATTCTACCTGTGACAAGTTTGAAAACTGGGAAAATTCACGCCGACTAGTGGGAAAATTAATAAAAAAAAAATTCCAAGAAAAGTTGAAATTACACCCTTAGTTTTTATTAAATTTATGCTTTCCCCTTGTAATTATTGTAGTAAGTTAATGTCATTAAAATTTTTGAACAAATTTCGTTTCGCGTAGAAACGTCTGCTTCCAAATTAATCAGGTTTTCTTTTAATCTGGATCTATTCTTTTCAGAAACTCTAAAACTGATTCAAAAAGTGAGTAAAATCTGGTTAAACATGCACCTTTCGACAACTAGCGTACTTCAGTATGTAAGAGCAATCGTTGGAAGTCTTCATCATTTTCATCGCACAAAATTGTGCAAATAAACGCGTATTCAACGCATTTCTTCTTATTTTGTTAACTGCATTCATCACAAATTGAAGCGATTGGTGCAATCTATCACTCAAATTTTTCGCTACTAGGTGTTGTCGGTGGAAAGCACAGTGAATTGCAGTTCCCTCTGGTATAATTCTTTTAAGATGGCTTATAAACTCACGATATCGCCTGACCATGGCAGGAGCTCCATCTGTTGCCACTGTATTTCGGATAAGTTTGTGAATGGAATCGATTTTTCCTTAAAAAAACACTCACACTCTCCAAAGTTTTACGCGAATAGTAGTTCTTCTTGAATTTTTTCGTCCATAATAAATCGAACATACTTATGCCAGTAATAATGCTTCATTACCATTTAAATTTGTTTCGTCCAGTTGAATAGAAAAATTAGTTGTTTGCAGATAATCGATGGTTTCATAGAGTCATTGCTCAAAATGAATTTGATGGAAGAAAACCAATTTTAAATCACACTATACTGTCGACATTTCCTCTTAGATTCAGCCATGTTTCGTATCAGTTAGTTTTTTATTAACAGGTAGGCTGTTAATAAAAAAACTTTGTTTTAGTAATCATAAGGCGGTCTTACTCAACAAGACTCACTCCTATTTAACAGAAAAGGCTTACCTAATCAATTATTGCAATGAAATAAACAAAGTACGAACGGCAAACTGATTCTAATTATTCAAAATTCATAAATCACTTCATAAAACTCTATGGGTCTTAGTCCATAAAAGAGTTTTTTGAATACGGCTGAACCGAATTTAATGTAATGTAAATCATTTTTTCATAAATATATTTTGATATCAAAACGCCGAGATTTTTTTATTTGTTTATTACTTTGTTGCACGTTACAGGTACGTAAAGACGCGTACAATTTATGAAAATATATTTGATTAAGTCATTTGGCATGGGGAACCTGAAACATTTACGATCATGCAGGTCAATCATAACATTTCTCCTTTAGTGAACCACCACCCAGTCGGGTAAAAAAAAAAGACGTGTGGCACTCGGGGACTGCCGCGGTAAAGCTATTGCATAGCATTTTGTATCAACTTATGCAATTATAATTATTTATTTATTTTATTTATGCAGTATTTCTTTTTCTTTTATATTAATTCAAGTTACACTTTTTGAGCGTGGTGACCGATAAAAAACATTTTTTTTCTTTTATTAAATAAAAATATTGAAGCATATATTACAATTTGTTTTTAAATAAATAAATAAAAAATATTATTATTAAATCAAATTACATATCCATGTAAGATTTTTCTGCATTATGTTGACGAAATTTCCTTTGACGTTCAGCATTTGATTTTGGTACTGTTTTCTGTTTTGTTTTTAGCGTGAGGTTTTTTTTCGTTACGGAATTTCTGGATCCGGTCCCCGCGCTCAAGGCCCTCGATAGAAGCTATGCAATAGCTTAAAAATACCACTAAAGTATTGACAAAAAGTTCAACCTTTCACGGCTTTCTATTCTTTTATGGAAGTATCTAATAATGACTGTTCAGTATTTAATTTTTAATACGTACCTACCACAAGCTTCTTTTGAAATTCCGGAAATAAATGAGTTACGTTTCGTATTCGTATAAATATATTGGTGAAGAATCATATAAGTTCATGCAAGATTGCAAGCACACACACCACAAGTCGTACACTTTGTACTGAATATGGAATATACAAGTTTATACAAGTAACAATCGGTGAGCTACTTAAAATATTATATGCCTACATTGATAGGTGAAGTCAAGCCAACATTTTAGTTCTTCTAGATAAATTTTCGTGGTTCCCCGCTTACGAATTGTGATCCCCCAAACGCTAACATAGACCCCCTTCGAGCCTCCCGTGGACCCGTGGGGGTCCACCTGAACCACTTTGGGAACTACTATTCTACGTGTGTTCGTCAAATACTAACACAATTAACTTTTATTAAAATAGATTGTTTATGTAGTCAATATGATAAACACATGCTCTAAACGTATGTTGTCTTTAATGAAAAAATGCAAGTATAGATAGTGAAATAACAATAAGCGCTATGATAAATAACGGAAATATGGATATTTCAGGTAAATTGATCATACTTCTCATTACTCAGTTGATTAAAGTACAAAGACTGCTGTCGTATAGATATCTGTTACATTTTCCTTTTGTATAATATTAAAATGCCAAACGGTATTATTTAAGGTGCTGGTGGTGATTTGGTTTTATTGTAAAACTTAAAGACGAATAGAATTTCAATGAATTCCACGCATAATACTTTAATTAACTAGTAAATTACAATATTATAATAACTAACGAATATGACGACATTTCTTAACAAAAAACTTTTTACACGGAATTTAGGTAAAAATTTACAGTTGTAGAACAAAACGTCTAAGAAAAAGACGTACGGGACGTACAATCCCAATGATCTGATCCGAAAATAAATTGTTTATTTTCTTTTATTATTTGACTTTATAGAACAAAATCTTCGAATAGACATAAAGGATTTTTTTCTGGTCCGATAACTGCGCTGGGCAGAAAAGAAACCGTTTCGTAA